TGCAGTCTTCCTCCCACTCTTACATCAAGTGGTGCTATTTCCACAGTAACAGCAGTTTAAACTACGTCAATGGTACAGAGCCAGAGACGAGAGGGAGATGATGTGGGATAGTTTCACTTCTGGCTAGAGATATTAGCAGCACTATGGGATGGACTGCTGCCAGCTTTCTCTCCATTATTTTAAATTTCAGTGGTTCTCATACTTGAGGAAAAATGTACATGTAGCTGACAGTTTATCAGAAACAGTAGATGTACTGTATCTTTTCAGAGTTTGATTGATCGCAAGTTAAAAAATCGTTAATTAAGGATTTTTAGGAATTAGAAACATGAACTCATGCTTCTTGACTTCACTGTTTCATTGTTGATACCATCAGACACATGAGGACAGCAATGACGAAAACACAAACATTAATCCAGATTGGAGCGTCATGGAGACACTCAAACCTAGATAATCTATTCAAAGACAGTTCAAGATTATGTGGCTTCCTTGCCTGCCTAATTGCATGAATTACAGTACTGCCGCTTGCCAAGAAATTTAGAGTAATGTTACAGATTTTCAAAAACATTTTTGAATTTCCAAAGTACTAGATCGTTGGCAGTGGGCAAAGATAACGTGAATTTTTCTCAACTGAGCAACTTTGAGTTTGAGTCACATGCTGCTGTTCAGAAAAATACCATAATGGCACTTGACTGTATGACACACCAAATGTTTCTCCCCTAACACACCCCAACAATACTGTAAAAAGAACTATGATCATTATTAAAGTGCCTGAAGGACATGAAACTAGAACCACTGGATTAGCTTTCCATCCTTAATTGTGTTCCATATAACATTCTTTCAGGACATCACTTCTGGCCATAAAAGCATAACAGAAAACTTTGGAATGTGAAAAGCTCAACAAATTAAATCAACAGGGAGATGAGCAAACTGACTATCTCAAAGCAATGGCAGCAGATTTCAAAAAACAGATTTTAGAACAGAAAATCTCAATGATATCAGGATCCCAGCAGCTTTTACTATGTTTCATTCACACACTAAATATTATCTCCATTAGCATCCACTTTTTTGTGATGGGCCACCATATTGGTAGAGAAGTTACTTAGTACTCTTTTAATAGGAACAACCACAGACCATTAGCATTCTTTCTCTCATACCTACTATCTTGATGTCATTTGTCAGTGTTTCTGTAATTTTGAAAGTCATTGTACAAGTAAATAACATGAGGTTTTTATCTGATGGTCAGCAAAAAAGACTTGTGATGCTTCAGTGGCACGTAAAAACATTGATTATTCTCACATTTTTCTCAAGTAGATGCTGTATGATAAAGTACCAGTGTGTAAGATGTAGTGGCATCTAGCAGTGAGGTTGCAGATTGTGAGTTCCCTTATTAGTTTCAGGGGATTATACACTAATGATGAAAACATAATCATGAATATTATATTCCATTTCTGCCATTACACCCCCCAAATCTTACACACCTGTCCTTTAAATGTAGAGTTGGCCTGAAAACCAAAAAGGATTATAAAAATATTTCTCCGCCTCCTGGAACAAAAACTATAAAAAATGAATTCACCATATTTTATATCGACATTTCATATATTTCATATAGTCCACCAAAGCTACTGCTTCCTGTTGGATGTGTGTCAATACAGCTGCCTTTGATTGAAACTTTTGTCCATTTTACTGAAGATGAAACACTTGTAGTACTGCCCACTCTCTGTCAAGTGGGCACTAATATATCCCCCATTCAACAAAAAATAACTGTCAATATTGTTTGTACTATTCAACATTGCCTAATAAAGGCCCCCAGACCGATGCTGTTTGTTATTGACAGTTCTTTATGCTTTTCATACATCAGCAACTCTCCATCCCACAGCCAATCAGTCGGAAGTGATGCAGTCACTTCATCCTGTGGGCATGGAGGGATCAAGCACAAAATGACACCCAGGGCAGTAGAGTAAATATGGGCAAATGTTTTTTGTGAGAATAAGAAAATTTTTCTTTGTGTAGGAAGTGTGTAGGACTGCTGTATGTTGTATTCAGTCCATTGTATTTTAGCATGCGTCTGGGTTACATGCATGACTGTGAACGTGGTATCCCTTTATAGAATTTAGAGCCCGGGCTGCTTCTGTCTGTGAACACGCTTCTTCCCACAAACAGTTTGTCAGTGACGTGTAGGCGGGTGTCAGTACTCCTATATGAAAACATTCTGCCACAAATGTGACGTATGCCACAGATGGCGTCTCTTCTACATTCTAGCCGTTGCCCACCGTCACCAAACGACTGCCAATAAGAAACTGCATCAGCCAGGGTATTAAAAAAAAAAAAGAAGAGATCTCAATTTCAATGGCACTTACATACTTATTATACTTACAATACTTATTAAATAAAGGTTTATATACTGTGTGTATATATATATATATATATAGTATATACTATACTATATATTATATATATATATATTATATATATAATTCAAGAGGGATTTTAGAAATATAATGGTTATTAGTTTGAAGAGTTAAGTAGAGAAATTCTGTGGATAAATTAATGTCATCTGCCACAGAAAAAAGAAAGCAGTAAAGAGACACAAAGTGATGTTACAAGGAACTAAACAGTTTGATCTTCAATGTTCACTGATGCTGAGTTTTTTTTTTTGTGATACTTGTCTTTTGTCACATTAGTTTCATAGGAATTCTACTCATCTCAATTTGGCATTCTGATCATCTCCCAAAAAATTACATTTCCTGTATGACCCCAGACGAGAGAATGTCCATAGTCCTTTTATGGCTCAATTCCTGCCATTGATCAGTGATCAGATTTTTGATGATAATGTGCAGATCAGAATTATCTGCACGTCCAGAATCTGTGAAAATCCCACTCTAAATGTGGTAGACCGAAACTTAAGAAATTAGTCAGCAGGCTGCAAGCACGTCACACCTCGAACTGTGTTACTGATGATGGTGATGATGATAATACATGTGTGCTATTTCAATGCACTTTCAAATGAAGTGGGTAAGGTAAATTCTTATCAAAATGAAATGCTTTTGATCAGTCCTCTACAGCTGTTTATTGATAAAACGAGATGAACAGACAGCCAGCAGTTTCCCCATTCCCCTTCAAAACTGGCACAGGAGAAATTCATCTCTTTAGCATATGGAAAACACTTCTTACTCAACTACCTCAGATTGGCTCGGGTATAAAAAGTCTTTTTCCATTTCTGGTATCTAAACATTGATAACTAAGAGTCTGTTTGGATCAAAACTAACTATTTATATTTGATTTTTTGTCCAATTGATTTTATACAAAATCATTGCCAGATTTTTCTAAGGGGGAACTGATGCACTGATTATGTCACACTGATGCCTCTTTCATTAAACACAAGCCTAGCAGAGGAATTGAGTATTTTCAATATTCACACCTGATTACGCCTTTCCTGCATCAGCAAATCTCCCTCTCCCCACCAACCACCAGTCGGAAGTGATTCAGTCCTTCCGTCTTTCCACTTGTTGGCTTAGGCAGAAGAGAAAGATCTGACTGACTCACTCACACCAAAAACTGCTCTGAAAATTTGGGTATATCTACAGGTGCACTATTGATCTTTGTGATATCCAAATAAAATTTTATATTTAAAATGTGTAGAGAAATAGAGAATATTTAGTCCATTATATCTTGGATGCCTATGTTTCCTCAGCATCTATGAATGTAGTATCCTTTAATAGTACTCTGAGCCCAATCTGCCTCCATCTGTGAACACACTCCCTCCCACATGCAATTCGTCAGTGATGTGTAGGTGGGTGTCCTCTGTAGAAACTCATGGAATTTTCTCTAAACAAACGTGACATATGCCACAGATAGCATTGGCTCTCTGTCAATAGGTATAGTCCGGCCATTACCAACCACAAAGTTCCTGTGCAAGCCCTGTGTGAGTGCCATGTTTTCTGTATGAAATATGAGCTTAAATATGTCTGCAGGTTTCTTCTTGTAAGTGCCAATGTGATGTGCAGACCAGATTTTATTCCTACAGCCACTGAAATGCAGATATTCTGGTTATAAATAATCACATAACTTCTGCTCCTTTGGGGAGGTAACAGGAAGCAGCCTCACATTTGCACATACATGTATTTAGATAGAGAAAAGATTGTTTTAGATCATTTTGTGTAATTTACAACACAAACACCTGTGACATCGCATTAGCTTACATGTGTCAAAAGTTCAGATTCATATTTATTAACTGACATTACCACTATCACTATACCAACAGTCTAGTAACGGCAGACTTAATACACCAACACTAACTACAGCCATGGTACTATATTGCCCTCTGCAGGTGTTCAACGGGCAAGTTTCAGGTATGCCTCAGACGTGGTCTAAATAGATGAACATGGGTAGATGGATTCAGAGATTGCTTTGTAAAATACATGAACTGATGAAGAGTTATTTACAAGCCACAAGGCTCTGCTCAATTATAAATAAAATTGAAGTAAAGAAATACAGAGGTAATAGAACAATTCATTTGATTTATTTTTCTATAAACATGAACAATACAATGGTGAAGCTCAGTCTCCATGTGTAAACAGTACTTTAACAAATACAAGAAAAGTTGAGCAAGAGCATGGGACTAATACTTATACTTTCCTTTACCACCTTTAACCAATGGAGGAAACTGCAAGATCCTTTCCTCCTTTCACCCCACAAAATATGCACATTATACACTACAGCTCCATCTCCAAGTGATCATTTAACAGCCTAAAGCAATCACTTTCAATATCAGAGGTAAACTTGAGGCCATCAAATTCATTTTATTGTGTTTTATCAATATAAGGGAAACATTAGCTGTATAAATGCTACATTTGGGTATGACTTTCAGATCTCAGTCCAAGATCTGATACTGTGATTGACAGTTTAAATATCAGGTGAATAAATTGGTAGCAATAGGCATTTCCACTGATGAACAATACAGGATCAGCATTGTTGATGGATTAACAGTTGATAGTAAAATTCTAGAGATCGGTAGTGACCACAGGAGTGACTCCATGAATGAGCAATGTCGGGCCAAGATCTCGACTCAACAGGTCCACCTGGTGCAGGTAGGCAGAGTAACGATTTGTGTCTGCTGGTGGGCGTGGCAAGTACAGGAAACGCACAGCAGGTTTAGGGGCTCCATGTCGGTGAATCAGACTGTTGACGGCGCAGATATATTCATCTGTAAGCTGAGCGGCATTATTGGGGAACGTTTGGATACCATTTTCTTTCTCAGTTTTCTCTTCTCTCTCCATCCTCTCCTCATTCTGTGCAGACTCCACCAGATTCCCTCTCTCCTTTCCTCCTTGTCTCTGCCAATGCAGTGCTACCACCTGGTCCCAAGCAACCATCTGCACCTGGGCTGATATTCTCAGCTCCTTCAGCATAACCCTGAGCTTCGTCTCTTCCTCTTCCTGCAAACTGCAACCAGCCTCCACACATAGGAAGAGGCGGAGTCTTGCCTGTTTCCAGGCACGGGTCTCTTGAAGCACGCAAGCCAGCTGCAGGAGGAACAGTGAGCAGATGTCGACATAGCCACAGCTGTCTGGTCGAAGCAGATTCAGAGGCCACACATCAACGAATGGCCCTGTCATGCTTTGGTAGCCTCCAATCTTTCTTCCTGATCCCAAGACCTCCTCTCGGTTAAACTGGTTGAAGTAACGAGCCAGTGTCACATTCTTCCCCATTTTTACAGCGTCAGCGATCACTGACACATATTCCTCTTTCTGAAGGTCTTTGAGTTCTTCAGCACCCCGCACAATGGAGAAAAAAGGGGGTCGCTGCTCTCCAGGCTCTTTGGTTGGACAGACTGCATCCAAGCCATGGCCTGTAGACACAAGAATTTTACCTTGGAGGTGGTCTTGAGGGGTGCAGTCATCATAGAAACCCAAGACAATGGTGTTTGGTCTCATTCCACCTAGATGCGATTAAATGTATCAAATGTGCATTTTGGATAAGAACTGTAAGGTTTGTAAGTATAATCAAAGTTCATGATGGATAACTAGCATCACTATGCAGTAGTAAGGTAAACTTGCCTACCAAATCCTGTAATGAAAAGCAGGTTCTGAACTCCGTGTCGGACAGAGTCAGCCAGGGTAAGGTTGACAAATGCCTTGATGTTCAGATGATCTACTAGAGACAGCCAGGAGTCATAACGGCTCTGCAAAGGATCAGAGGGCAACCCATCTGCAAAGAGAGAAGAGAACCATTTCATTCCCGTAAGGGTATTTGTTGTTAGTCATCGCTGTTGTTGTTACTTTAAAGCCTTCAAGAGCTTTAAAGCCTATATAGAGTTGTATACTAAAAATGTCAATTTTGGGTTTGGCACCAATTATATGATTTATCTGTGCCTCCTACCTACAAAAGTCTTACCTAGTAAACCCAGCTTCACATGTCCCAGTACATAGAGGCCACTCTTCTTCAGGTCATTGATGAAAGTCATGAGACCTGTACAGCTGCGAGGGTTTGCCACCATCAGTAGCACCTGTGGCCTCCAGAACTTCACGTGGTCTTTACGCACATCCAACATCAACAAGTACTTGCGTACCTGAGCGAATGAAAGGTGTGATGAAATAAAGACGTGATGATGTAGTAATTAATGTAAACTCATAATATTACTTTATATAAATAAAGATGGTTTGTTTGTGACTGTGCACCTGGTGGAATATGAGAGCCTGGCTGATGTACCCCCAGTTGCTGATGGGACCGAGGTAGTGGATAAGCATCAAGAGCAGCAACATGAAGGCTATGCTGGCAAAGGCATAAATGGCACTGATCAGGAACATCATGATCAAGCAGCCAAGGATGCCCAATGTGCAGGTATGCCAGGTAAAACAACGGAATGAGGGCCTACATTTAAAAAAAAAATGAAGAAAATAACAGAATATGGAATGAAAATGACTTTGTTTTTGTAAATTCAGAACAGGACTTCAGAACACTACAATTTACACCTACACTTTACCTGAAGTTTGGTGCAGAAGCCCATTCTAGAGCCAAACAGGCCAAGTTCACAGCAGCATAGACCAACAAGAAGAAAATGGTTACAATACCAGCTATGGTGTTCAATTTACCAGCGAACAGCACCACCTAGTGGCAGGAATAAAGAACATTAATTTTGCTTACACTAAATTCAAAGTACTGCTTAAATAAAAGCTACTAAGATTTGCCAAAATCATTTTAGAACAAAAAATTTATAGCAATATTTTCTATATTTAGCTGCTTAGATCTCATTGTATGTTTTAAACACTGACAACAATTGAAATATGTAATAAACCTAACAACAAGTGTTAGCAGGCTTTGATACACACATAAGTGTAACTGAGAACAACGTAAACAAACAATATGGCTTCTTATATCAAGACTACACGAGAAGCGTCAGACCCCTGAATGTCCCTTGACCCTAATATGAACCACAATGATAAACAGCCCAACTGGTTTAAAATTACACCTATACTATATGTCCATGATTTTGATGAAAAGTTTAAGAAACATAAAATGTGGCAAACCTTGTTATCTAGCTAATATGCTGACACCAAATACCCTGATAGTGAAATGAAGAGTTCACTTACTAGTGTAATAGGACAGTCCCCTGCTCTGTCTCCCTGGCAAACCTTTCAAGCTTTTAATGCTCCTCATTTGAGAAATGTTCAGCCAATCCGAAACCAAGAATGATGATGCAAAATTTTTTTTTACTCTGCTGAGTGGTAGGGGGAAGGAACAGACAATTCAGATCTGACATCTATTTAGATGGTCAGCTGCTAATTTATCTGCCTCCATTCCAGCTCCAAAAAGCAGTCAGGCAATATACAGTAAAATGTAAATGGTTTTGCAACTCCAGCAACTGCGTATTATACAATTTGAGCAAGAATATTCAGATTTTGTCCACTTCATCTTCACCACTACTGAAATGCATTCCTCCTATTTCTTTTACAAATCAAAATCAGAAAGCAAAAGGGACAGTACAAGTAAAGACAAACATTTAGGGAGTAAGTCAATAGCTTTTCATATTCATCTGTTGTTTAACACCAATTTAATTTTGTCTTTCTGCCATTTACTGTTCAGGGTGGCTAAACAGTCAAGACAACCTTTTGAACTACGTCACTAATCTAACATGTGAAAGAGCAATATGAACAGGAAGGGGTTGAGGGTAAGGAAAGTGACTGTTAAGCAGAGCTCAAGCAGAGTCACTCTAAACTTTAAGCACACAGGAAAATTGTTACAACTCCTTGTATAAAGTAGAAATTATCCTACCTGTACAAGCAACCAGGAGACAAGCACCGAGGCCCAGGGGTTCCCACTTCGAGATGTTTTCCTCGCCAGAGCCAGGACACCACCTGTAGAGATTTATAACATTAACAAAAGCAAAGTCACTCTCTGTCTGTTATTGCTAATGGTCCTAAATCAGATAAACAACTGAGTCATCCTGCACTTGTCCTTAAGCCAAATACACAATGAGAGAATTTTTTTTCTTCTGAGAAAGTCATCACTGTAAGCCATCTGTTGTCAATCGATGCTTTCCAATTTAACATGCCTCCACTAGGAAAATGAAACATGATATAATTAATAACAAGTCACTTTCTCACATTTGAGATGGAGGCCTCTTTCAACAGATGGCCGATTATTAAAATGTTGACTCAGCTTTGTAGAAGACCAGCTGGAATTGGATATGCTTTCATATACTCTGGATCAACTATTTAGCCCCAATCATAACCTAAACAAGCAAGGTTAGTAATTAAATGCCTCGCACTACAGAAATGGTCAGAGACCACATCAGCTAACACCCCGCAGCCAATTAACAAAAATGTATTTGCTGCTCCATAGCACACAGCTCTTAATATTAGGGACAACAGGTAATGAAAATTACAAATATTCTGCAGCAGGACACATGATCTAGAATCTCACCAAACAGGTTGTCTTTAGACAGAGCATATAAGATCCTGGAGGCTCCTATCAGGTTACTCATAGCAGCAGACATAGTGGAGGAGTAAATCCCGACTGTGACCAGGGGCGGCCAAATATTGATGTCTCCCAGGAAACTGTAGTCTCTTTGGAGTAGGCAACTAAGAATGATGGATTAAATTCCAAATATGAAATGAGTCAACAATGTACAAAATAATTGATTCAGCACATTAACTGTGTTAATAATGCAACTTCACTTTAAAATCAATTAACATGTGTGCAAACAAAATAAAATCTAACTACAACTACGATATTCTACCTCTGAAAAAGACATCAAAATATGTAAAAGGAAAAAGTGCTTGAAAGTAGTAACTTCTTTTGTTTAATCATCCATTAAATAAGTGACCACATTATTTGGGGATCACATTTTCACAATGACTTTCGTAATCAGACGCTATGGCACCTACAGAACATTGTGTGTTACATTTCATTTTATGTGTGCTAGTTTTATTTAAGTGTGTCTAACTGTGTCTGGATTTGTGTGTCTAACCGGTCACAGGACCACGCAGCCATCAGACTAAGCATATTGTACGTGATGAAAGTTATAAGCACAGCTGCAAGCGTTCCTCTTGGGATGGAATAACTGGGATTTTTCAGGTCACCTGCAAAACACATAAAGTTCCCTCTTAAAAAAAACGAAAAAAAAAACAAAAAACAACCAAATCTGTTGACACCTTATTGAAGTTCTGTTAAAGTTAAGCCTCCCTGAGATAAATATACCATATACTGTGTCTTAAAATCGAAAAACTTGAACCAACAAAAGCTATGGGTTCTGTTCTGTCTTGAGCTTGCACACAGCAAGAAAAAAAATGACCATTTACCTGTCCTTCCACAATTTATTTATTGGAAGTTATTTTAACATAATATTACCTGACATGTTGGAGCCTGCCATGATTCCAGTGCAGCCATTGAACATGACAGCAAACACTGTGGCAAAACTCATCATGGCACCAGTGGTGTAGTCTACTGTGTAACTGGCTAGAAGGAGCAACAGGAGGCTTGATCATTATATTTGAGGGTTCATGTGTACAAACAAAGATCTGCAGCACATTAGATCAATTCATTTTCATGCGGTCTGCTTGAGCAGGTCAAAGTTTTTTTCTACAGGTCCAACATTGTTTAAAAAGATTTAAAAGCCTATAAAATTCACATCCATTTGACAACATAACAGCAACATGGCCAACACTTACGCAATAGGTTGTCCTCCAAGGTGTGGAGCCGGAAACCAGTATAATTGGCGGTGCTTAGGCTGGTGCTGTTAAAAACAGAGGTATCTGGCAGAATCACCACAATAGGCAGCACAATGAAGAAACTGATGAAAATGGAAGCCAGGACTGTCGTGACTATGATGAAAATGATAAAGGTGGCTTTGGCATAGATGTGCGCTCCCACCTGTGATGACAAACATGGTCAATTAAGGAATTAGTGGCAGATTACATGTCTACATATATGATATTTTGTCCCCCTTGCAAAAGGAGGGCAACATCAGTTTTTCTATGACCTGTGTGTTCATCCATTAAACTTCTTGGTTCAGAGCAAGATATGAAATACAGACAGCAATAAAATTCAATTTGACATTTATGGACCAGTGATGATTAATAAAGATTTGTTGAACCTCTGACTTTTACCTTTGCACCACTTTGAAGTCAAGGTTCTCCCTTGATTGTCAATTTGGTCCAAGACAAGGCACTTTGTGGTCTTGGCAATAAAATTTGCTCATGGATATCCATGGTCCTTAGAGGACAAACTATAATGTTCATGGTGACCACCATTTGGCCAAAAGATCCAATTGTACATTACATATATCAATTTCAACTTATATTATTTTAATGCTCCCCCGTCCTTTGCTTTAAATTGCAGTCAGGAAAAAACTCTAAATTTGCATTATGTTTGATCTAAATCTTTAAACTGGTGAATAAGATGTCAGATCTATCCAACATTTTTGTGATTGCGTCATGTAACCAACATTGCAGCCTTTTTATTCAAAATGTTTGTGTATTTAGCAAAATACACAAGCATAGCTCTCAGAAAAATAAATCACAAAACTCCCTTCATTTGTATAAGCCCAAGATTTGCACACAATATGTATGCATGTTAATTTTGAAATATTTAACTAAATGAAAAATAATGGCATCTCACCAAGCAGACAATGAAACATAGGAAGAGTAGGACGGTGCCATAAAGCAAAGACCACCAGTATCCTGTAGGCAACACCTGATGGAGACCTGCAACATGTGCAGCACCCTCTGAGGAGGGACAGTAAAACAGGGTTAATATATCAACACACTCACAAGCCTGCAAGCCCCACCATGTCCCAATGGACCTTACCTTCTGGGATGCCAAAGGCAGACAAGATAGCCTCAACCAGACCCAGAATGTAGAGAGCACTGCCGCACACATTGGCAAAGAAAAACATGATCCCGATGCTGCCACCAAACTCTGGACCCAGGGCTCGACTGATCATGTCTGGTATCCAAGTTAAGGAATTTCTCCAGATTCATAAACGTAAACCAAGCATGTCTGTACACAATATCTCACCTAATAAAATAACTGTGCCATTAGTGGATAAAACAAATCATGTGGAGAATTTAAATGCAGGGAAGCAGCAGTAAAGGATACAGTACGCACCTCCAGCGTCTAAAGCCCCATTGGTGGAAATGGCGCACACAGAAAGCACAGTCATTGTGATAATGAAGTAGGCCACCAGGAACATGGCAATAGATTGATAGAGCCCGGCTTGACCCACAACAAATCCTGCCAAAAGTAGGATGAATCTTTTATTTATATAGAGGCCTAATGTTTCCCAGGCCTGCAACATTACTATAGTTTGCAAAGTACCATGGCGATTCTTTTTTCTACTGCTCTCTTCCATTGTTTACATTATGAACACTTTTTCTTCCAGCTTCTTAAATTTAAAAATTTTGATTTTGGACAGTTAACTGGACCAAATACACAAACTGATTATGTCACCTTCTGCTTCAGAAACTGGGATGGGAACTTTTCACAATTGTGCAGCAATGACTAGTTAGATATTTACTTTTTCTAAGCAACATTTCCATCCTTGAGAAAAAATTATGAATATAGACCTTGAGAAAGCATGCCATGCTGGGTTTAAATAAATACTATTTTTTAAGTGAAATTATTTTTGATGGCATTTGTATTTTACCAAGACCCAAGTGGATTCAGTGAGAGTTGCAACTATTAGTTGCTTAACCAAACAGTCCATCAACCTATATTAATCAGCAACAACACTAACCAGTTTAGTAATTTTTGAAAGCAAAAATGACAAACATTTGCTTCTGAAATGTAAGAATTTAATGCTTTTTGTTGCCATACTTAATAGTAAAAATGAACCTCTTTGGGTTTTTGACTGTTGGCTGGACAAAACGTGACGTTTAAAAACTTAGGTTTAGCTTATGGAAAATTATAATGGGCATTTTTTTCCTTTTTGATATTTTTACAGACAAAACGATTAATTGATTGATCCAAAAAAAAAAAAATGGCTGTAGCCTTAAATTCAATGGCTCAACTTAGTCCCCAAATGGATTGTTTAGCTAGCTAGCATCTCGGCGCGGCTTCTGTCAACTTATAGACATAGACCTTACCACTAACCACGGTCACAGTAGGCATTGAGATTTATTTATTTATTCCTCTAGTTGTAATTGTTTTAGTGCTTTTACAGTCGTTGTAACCTACTCACCAATTCGCAGAAACACAACGACGCTGAACATGGACAGTAAAGTTGGTATGACCACTCCAAACACCACTCCGAGTTTTGGGGCGGTTTTTTCCTTGGTCCGTCGGCCGTCTCTGCCCGCCTTAGCACTGCTGTGTTTGGGAACATCTTTCGGCTCCGGACCAGTGCTCGTGGTGAGTCGATAATGAAGAAGAGGAGCCTTTTCTGACATGGCGGTTAAGTTAAAGGTAATTTAACGGTAAGTGCGTCTCACTAGCGTCAACCGTAAAAATCTTTCAAACGCATGTGCTCAACTAATACCTGACGTCTAGAGTGCTGTAGCTATGGCGATATCTGCTAACATTCAAACTAGCGTTAGCTCACCGTGGCGTAAGATAGCCGAGCAGCCGCCATTCACTTCGACTGCTTCCTTGCACCGGGCCCAGTTCACCTTCTGCAGGTAATGACGGTTTGCTAATGAGCTGAAAAAATTACGTTGCTTCCTGAAATTGGCTCATCCAATCACTCACAGCTTCGCCTTGATTAATATCCGCCGACTAATTTGTTTAAAGCTATATCTGTTAATAGTACAAGCAAATAACTAGCATACCTAAAAACAAAATCACTATCTACCTAACTAGGCAGCTAACAAACTAAAATAAATACATGACTAATTAGACAATGGTGTAATATAACAGACAGTTTATTGCATATTATATTGGGAGGGTTTTCTATCATCATAAACAGTATTTGTATTGATATAACTGTTGCAAAAATGTCCTTAGATGCAACATCTGAGCATTTACATAAAGACATTCACAAAGAAACCCAAGGTGGATTTCCCAAAATAAAAAAGGAATACAAAGGAACATGCACAAATCATAGCAAATCATAATTTTTAAAATAAAAATGTAAACAGACATAAGAGCTAAAAGTGCAATAAGAATAAGCAAAACCTGCTCACTGAATTTATACCAGAAAGGTATAGCAATATTTTCCAGTCTTCATTGTTCTTCAGTGTCTTTTATAGCTTATATATGATTTTTTTGATGCGCAGTAACTGTCTAGCACTATTAGCATAATAGCCACTTTGGGAGACATTTCTACCACTGACAAGGAGCAAAACAAATCTGGCCTGAAAACATGAATTCAGACAACCAAGCTGACCTTTTGGTTCTAGCCATGTGATCAAGGTGGAGAACAACCTCAACATGAAACTGTCATTTGGATTTTGATAGTTCTGCATACAGTGGAGACATGGAAAAGCTGCCTGTAAGCTACATTAAAGAAGTCGTTTTGGTTGTACACACCTACAACCAAATTCAAAGTATCCTTAGCTTAATGAATGATACAAAGAACTGCTTCTTTTTTCCAAGATACTCATTATTGCATACATATTGATGTCTTTTATTTTCCTTACTTATCCAGATGTAGTTCCTCTTAATGACTGTATATACATATCACAATATACAAAAGAAGACTTTTTACACATGAGAATTTTGAAGGTGAGGAGAAAATCCGGATTAGTCCTGCTGTTTTGCACTGGCGGACTTCATTGACTTGGGGCTCCAGTGGAGCTGAATTGAATCCCCATTTGTGAAGAATAATGGGTTCACTAAAGTTGTTTTTGAGTCACTGGTAAGTGCAGCTGTCTTCCAGGTTAATCATGAACTGCTCCAGTTTGCCTGAGATCAGCTGTTTGTATCTCAACAGGAGTGTGCTCAGACTCTGGGAACTTCGAGGAACACAAGACAGTGATGGGCTCACCACTGGCCCCTGCTGGTCCAAAAAGAAAACACAACAATGAAAATGGTTTTGAAATTAACAGAAAGAATATGAACAAAAATGAGAAAAGGTGGCTGGACATCAAACCAAAAGGTAAGGTGACATAACAATTCAAACATTTCACTATTTACTGATGGTAACATTTATAAAAACTCAGAACACAAATTAACTTCCCAAATTTTAGGATATTATGTAAAACACAGATCACAGGACATCCATCTTGCGTTTGTGTGACTTTCGAGAACAACTGTCTCACTGGGAAAGTATGTACTGCTATCTTCTTCTTGTCCTGAGGAAGGAAGGCTTGGGGGTCACACGACATAAGATCATCACTCCCAGGGCACGGAATTCCAGAAAGCCAAAGATTTATGAGAAACCAGGATATTTCCACACCATAGGAAATTGATAATGCTTCTAAATCAAATACTAAATCAGTTGGAGAGAAGCCCAGCAACACGTTTTCTGTCATTAGGTGTGAATTTTCATCAACATGTCAATGAATTTTTAGCCCACTTAGCTTTGATTTGGTCATTTGCAGGACAAAAGGCATTTTGGTGTGTAAGTAAAAATCAAAAGTGAAAGTTTCATAGACGTTTCATAGACACTGGAGTGCTGTTAACAGCAGTAAATTAGAATCTTCTTGACAATAAAATATGCTCGTTTAAACGAACATGTTTTCAAGACATCCAGAAACTTTGCAACCAAATTTACAGCTACCTTGACATGTATGCTTTTTTGACCCATAACCACCAAATGCAGTTTGTAACCATGACAGCTTCTTACACTCAGCTGAAGGTGTGTGAGAATGAGCAGGTAGTTGTTGATGTTGTTCTCCAATTTCTGCAGTAGTGAAGCAACACATCCTGGATGACTCAGGGCCCTCACAGCCTTCACACCTTCAATAAGAAGCCTGAAGGATGCAGCTATGTCTCCCCTCTTCTCCTGGTTCTGCAGTAACACACATACAGAAAAAGAAAGGCAAAAAAATCTATAAAAAAAACAAGGTAAACTGCTAAGCAAGTAATAAACCCACTATTGCTATAGTAGAGGATTTTGGACTCATACATGTGCCAACATACTGATTTGTTTTTCCAAGATGCTACATGAAGCTCTGTGCAGGGTAGCTGAACTGGTGTGGAGAGGGTCATGACACCATTGCAGTCACTCTGCCAAGGAGGAGACATGGAAAAGAGGTGACAGAAGCCAGACAAATAGGTGGATAACAAAGAGACAGACTGATGTGAGACTACAGGTAACAACAGACAAACAGAAAGAATAGATACATCAGCCCAGCAGGAGGAAGAGAGACAGAGAAATGTTGGGAAGGTTTATCTCTCGACCGCAAAGAAACAGTTATATCCTCACCAGTGCACTCTCCATTTCTGCCACAATATTCATAGCCCTCCTGGTGGCTCTATTACACACAAAGTCTATGGGTTTGGTCTCAGCATCCCACACCTCAGAGGCTACCATACAGAGCAGCAGGAGTCCTGGACAAACACACGAACACAAACTGAAGCTAAGGCACCACAAGCCAGCTTATTCAGCTTCCAACACTTACACGAATATCTTCATGAGTTAAATTTGATTAGTTTAGGCTCACTACTCACTGCTTAAAGCCATGCCCTGCTTGGCCTCTCCTGATGAGTCCACATTTGTTCCATTAAGAGATTTGCCAGGTGGAAAATGCCTTGTGTCCACTGTAGTTTCTCAAAAAGAGGAGCTGTGTGTCCTTTTTGTCTTCTCACCACTTGATTTCCCACCTTCTCATTCAGTAGTGGGAAGTGCGAGTGTTATCTAGCCTGAGAGCAGGATGCGCTCCAACTTTCCTGCTGCGCAGCATAACAAAAAGTTATAGACCGAAAATGGCATTTCATTGATATTAGCTGGACTATTTTGCTTCTTGTTTGGCCAGAGTTGGCTTTTAGAGCGTTCAGGGGACAGCATGATTGCTGACTAAAAGGTTAATGATTTATTATTGTGAAAGACTCCATTTACACAGCTGGTATCAAATCCAGTCACTACTGCTGGAGGCTATTTACTTTTTGTCAAGATTTGCCCTGGCTACTAGAGGTATAGCAGCTTGGGTTCATATAATTCACAAATTGATGTCAGAGGGAGCTACACAGCCCACATACATCACGTGGGTGTGTGTGAGGTCTGTGGTTGTGTAGGCTGTGTGTGTTGACTTATCTGTCTGACATAATACACATACGTGACTTAGAAAAGAGCGTTTTTTAGTCATCTAAAACCCTGTCTCAAAGGTTGCTGACAAACCAGGTTGTTTTCACTTTTAGGTCCAAATTTAGTTTTATATTTTTCTAACTTTAATTTTTTAAATAATTACACTTAAATTTTGACTAAGCTGTATATCCTAACGGGCATATGGTCTTTGTAGGCAGGGACAAGGTAAAATCACTGCCAACGTGGTCAGCCATCCGAGGTTTGTTTAATAGCCTTACTGGTGTATTTGTCACCCAGAAGGAGAAGTGAACAAGCGGTCTTCACCCGGATACACGCAATCATCCATCAGGGTGTAATGCCAGGGGGGGCGCAGCTGGAGGACGCGGTGACGCTCCAATTCAATTGCTGTGTGGAGGTCGAGGAGGTCTAATAGCTGTAAAAGACATGGATAAGAGAAAACATGGGAGAATGCACCATCCATCCTCATTTCAGACACACGTGCTCACCCCCAGCACCCCAGCCTGCTGGACATTGACTGAGCCCCTGCCCTCTTCTATTTGCGCCCAAGCTGTTTATGCGTGCCATGATTAAGAAGCATGACGCCTAATATTAGACCTTAAAGTGTGTGTGTGCGCGCGCGCATGTGTGTGTTGTCACATACAAGGAGAGCGAGAGCGCAAGAGAGAGAGGGGGGAGAGAGAGAGATGCAGAGAAATATAGAGAGCATCAGGACTAAACACATGTTCTGTTTTTCTCTCTCCAAGCCTCCACCTATCTCTGCAGATAATCCCGACCTTCTTAATTAAGACGAATGTGCGCCGCGGCTCCGCAGATAATGACCGGAGCGCCTGGATTTCTGCACACAAGGAGAAAGCTGCGGGCCATGGCACTGACGGTACCCGCATTGCATCACGGACACGACACCCGGTACCCCGCTGTTTCCCTCCCACCTCAACTTGAGCCGATGAGGAGACTGTAGCATCTTATCATAGAGTTTCTTTGACTCACAATCCCATGCAGCCGCGCTCTCAGACGGCCGGCTGCTGCCTGCTCCGCTGTGCGCTGCTCTGGAGGCGCAAAGCCGGTAATTACGCGCCGTGCTGACAACTTTGGCGCGGTGCTATATAGCCTATGGATTGCGCATCAGCAACAGGCCAGTCGCTGGCATCTACTGAGATTTCCCTCCGGTGGAGTGAAGTGTGATCCCCGGGAGTCATCCGCAGCCCGGTCACATCATCGATTAAGTGTGCGCTGCAACCTGTAGCTGTGTGCCCCTTTGTTTCAGTCATTATTCCGCTAAGGCGCAATGGAGGGACACAGCTGACGGTTTTGACTCTGTAGCCCGAGGAGGAGAGAAGAAAAAAGAGAAGGAAAGCAGCCCCAGTGGAAACCGTAAGTATGCTGCATCCTGACAAGATACATCACTGTCTCTTTTCTCTCTCTATAAAGTGTCAAATCCATGCCGAACTTTGTCAATATCCAGCTCAAGGGCAAATGGTAATTGAAGGTATGATTGGGTTATGTTGTATTTGCTGGTATTCTGGTGTCATTTTGTGATAATTTCCTGTTAGTTCCAAGTATTTTCTGCCAGCTGTAGCCAGCAGCAATGACTGACATTTAAAAAAACTTGCCACACAAAACATAAAGGAGCACAGGTGGTTGGACATCTTAGTGTTGCACATCAAGGACTCAAGGTCCTTGTAGTAGCTATGTATGTATGTTTGAGAAAATGCACACATATATGCCAAGTATGTCAGATGACTACTTTTACTTTTAGGCCCATGATAAGAAATAACTTTCCCTAGAATGGCACACAATTTAGAATGACATTAAACTAAACCAAACCTTCACTTAATTCCTACCATTAATTAACCATTAAAGGTCTATTAAGGTCTCATGATTTCTCATCATGTGGACACTGAGCTCTCTTAAGAAAGGAAGACCTCTTTCTCTTCTCTGACACAAACTGGACAGGAGACATGTTGTTTTTCCTCTTGTATGCTGGTACCACACTGCCCTCCATGCAGAGGTGGATGGTGTATATCTAAAGAATCCTGTGGAGATGGAGAGATGTGGGTCAGTGTGCTGGTGCTCGGGGCTGCAGAGCACCCAGTTCCTCTGCTGCCGGGGCCACCGTACCTCTGCCTGTGTGTGGCTGCCAGCTCCCTGATAAAATGAAGGCGATGACACTCTTACTCTCACTTACGAAAGAGGGATTTGATGTGATGACAAGCTGTGGGCCCAAGGTGCATATGAACCTGAAGAGCATGAGTAATGAGATTTGTGAAAGTGTGTGTTTGTGTGAGAGTGTGTTTTTGGGTGAAATCCCGCAGTGGTCTCAGAGGCCCTGGTTCACTCTGGTGCCTGTGGTCCAGCGCTTTGAACTGGTTGCCTTGCCAACAGCCAATCAGCTGCAGTCTTGTGCAGGACTGTTTTATCTGTCAGCAAGTCATTGACTCCCTCCCAGAGGAATTAAGTCTTTTAACCTGTAAAAGATCAGTTACTTTGATATTCAAATGTACGTTGGCCTGTGACCAGTTAAATTGTTTAATGTGATACTGTCAATTTAAAGTTTGAATTCATTAGTGACCTGCTGTTTTTGTGGCACAGTTTCATACCGGTGTGATGAACTGGCCAATTGCTTTGGTCCAAGAAAGTCCTGAACACCTGAAAATTTAAACCCCCTGAATTTTCCATCCAACTGCAGGCATATTGGCAAACACGATGGATGTTTGGCGCCTGACAAAACAGCAGTGAATCCTTGGAACAGTGGTTATCTTTCAGGTGTGAGTCTCACTTGGCACCACATCTTTCAGCGCAATAGATTTCACTGCCGGTGAGTAGCACCCACGAAAAGCCTTTAGTGAAAGCCCAGAGAGATGAGCTCACAGTATTATATTACATGTGTCATCTGCGGAAACAAAATGCTATGAGAGTGTAACAAACTTTAAAGTGTGAGCGTTTAGTGTTGAATGCAAGCTCCCCTGAAAAGTATACGTATACTCAAAGTGACTGCTGTGATGATCATGAGCATGACACTTCATTGCAAAATGTTCTCCATGGAGATGTTCAGCAGCCAATAGAAATCAGTGGTCATCATTCAATAATTACGTATATTCCTCTCAAAGCCCTGGGTGCTTATTGCCTTCATGCTTTAAAGAGTTTAAGAGTTGTCACTGTCATTCTGGTTCAGATTGCATCAGCATGACAAGATTTAAAATTCAAATGGGTGTTGCGCATTTTACACATGAAGTTCAGTTTATTTGTCATGGGGCGTACTACACAGCCCGTGAAAACAGTTGCATGAATTCTGTGGCCTTAGAAGGAGCTCTCTAAAGTCTGAGAAAAAGACAGACAGACAGAGAGTAGTCTGCTGAGTCTCAGTGAGCAGAATAGGATCCAGTTTTTGGAGTTTGACCAATACAAGAAACTAAAATTTTGGTTTCCAACACTGCTTCAGTTTCACCATTCTCCTCACCCTCATCTTTATGATAGTGTAATACTAAATTGTTGGAGTGCCTCTTAAGAACACACAACTACAAAGGAAGACAGAAAATAGTGCAGTGAAATTTGGAAAGATAATGGGAAATCAAATCTATGACATATAGCCTAAACTGATTGTACAAAACACTGGAGCAACTTAGACTTGGAGCTACTTATCCTCTTAAATACAGTAATGAAGTAAAAGAGCCATTATCAGACATATAGTTTAACCCTTAAAGAAGCTATAGCTACCATTAATGAGGGAGCTTATAACTTAATGCAGGAGATAAAGAGGCGTTTTTAGTCGAAACAACTGAGAAAAAACGTGTGGGGCAATGGCTTATTTTGAAAGTTCAGTGTATTCATACATTAGCCAACATTTAACATCCTGTGTGAAGGATGGCAGCAGAAGATGTCTTACATCAGTGGAATAAGGCCATCATAAAGTCACTAATGGGAGCACAGGCACCTTTCTTTATTCATTTAGGCACTTAAGGGGTTATTGTAAAGATATCTTCATGACATTGATGGAGCTATAAATCTCAGGCCACCACAAGCCTCACCCTCCTGAATTACTCATCACACTTGATCAATCCAGTGATGACTCAAAGCAAAGGACAAGTATATTTATATTAAAATAAAAGCATATTCTCTACATCATAATTTGGCCAAACAGTCCTTTATTATACCTGCACCTGCACACGCCTCCGCACCAAAGCACAAAAAAAAAAAAAAAAAAAAAAAAAAATCTCGAACATCATCAAGTCCAGTAACTCCAGAGAGAGAGACAGTAGCACAGTGAGGGTGGAGGAGGGAGGCGGTGTTTTGCAGTCAAACCGCGCCAGCGCTGCTGCGAGGCGACAGCCAGCTATACTCTCATCTGGCACACGCACACACACACGCACACACACGCTGACACACACACGGCGGCGACGCTTTGCATCATGCAGGAGGGCTTATGATAAGAAACCTGTTACACACTGCACATGTGATGGCAGGCGGCCGCGCAGAGTCCTCCTCCGCAGATTAATTAGCGGGGCGACTCGCACTCCTCAGAGTCTCGGATTGTGGGTCTTAATGAGGATATTGCGGCAATGGTGAAGGACAAGGCAGAAAACCGGACGCTTCAGTATCAGCAAACTTTGGTGAGTTTCGGATGAGGCCGTAAACGATGTTTCCAGTCATGTTTAAGCATGGGGGGGGGGGGGTTTCATAGATGCTAGTGTGGCC